GACCCAGTCCCTGCTCAGAAAAATGGAGGCAAAGAAATCATTAAATAGGTTAGCTTTGCTGTCTGGTGCAACAACCAGATTTCCCAGTGTGTCCTGCAGAGGCCCCATGTTACCCAGTACCTTCTTTTTACCCACCATGTATTTAAAAAAGGACTTCTTGTTGTCCTTGATCCGGGTAGCTAGTCCCAGTTCCATCTCCGCCTAGGCCTTCCTGACTGCCCCCCTGCAACCCCGAGCAACCGAAGTATGGTCCTCCCTGGTGATGGCCCCATAAGAGGTGCTTGCAGGTACGCTCCTGTTCCCTGGTTGTCTGTTCTATCTCATTTTCTTCCTCCTGATCTTCCACGTTAACAGGCTACTTTACATCTGCAAAAAAACGCATTTAATTCCCTACCAATTTTTGAGGCACTTAATGTACCCTCCCCCCCACCCCTTCCACCCCACCTCCTAGGCCAAGACTTAAGTCGAGAAGGCCGTTTTGTAGTGTAGAAAAACAGATGAAAATTTTGACATCAAGGAGAAATGAACCCAGCAATGGAATACAACTGACCTATTTAAAAAATTGCTCATCACTGATCACAGACCCCGCATCTAAACCCCCTAGCTTTGCTTTACCAAGGCAAAGCTAGACAATGGTGATCAGGGTTCATACTGAACAAGGTTGATATAATTACCTACTGTATATATGTAATTTTATTAAAGACCCCAAGTGCAAGTGTGGCAAAATCCAAACTCTAGCACACGTTAGAGAGGAGCATTCTATTTATCATTTTAATGGTTGCACTGAAGACCTGCACTAGACTATTGACAATGCTTCACAATGGATATCAAATCTGAAGTGGTCATTCTAGCCTCATCCTTAAGTGCCGTTGTTTATAGGTTGCCTGTAAGTTGCTTATAGTTTGCTCTGTCATTCGGTTACTGTATTCCATGCTAATAAATATCGTGAGTATGCATAGTGGATGCAAATGATAACAGTATAGTTCAATACATTTCACCTTTTTGTAGAAAACCAGAGCACCAAAAACAGCAATAGGCAATTCTTATAAGAGTGCATGCAACAAAAGTTTGGTCACCTAGCTGCAGAAAAATGACAAATTGCATTCTAAAAATACTAAGCCTAGTCCTGTACCATGGGGTTGTCCAACTGACAGCCCCCAAGGGGCCAGCACGTGCCGTAAGCATCCTAGTGGCTGCCTCTTCCATTGCCACATGATGGGAAGGGTCCATGGGTTTGCACATCCACCACAGCCAGGGGGTAGGGCATGATTTGTGCACTGCTGCTGCCACACAGTATGGGGAGGGTCTCATACCACTGCTGCAGCTCAGATAGCAGAGATCCTGAAGTCTCAGCATATCTCCACCTGCATGGGGAGGGGGTAGGCCATGAGCCACGGCCACAGTCCAGAGCCATTTCGGGCTGCTCATGCTGTGACCACTGTTCATCCAGGGAAGGTAATCCCAGAGGGGCTAGTTGCACAGCAAATGGCCTGTGCCATGTGCAGTTCCCCCAGACACACCAGAGTTCATTAGTCCTAGCATAGAAACTTGTCAAATTACATAGCCAAATAATCTCAGGGTGGACAAGGCAAGGGTCGAAATGTATAGAATAGTTTATATTTCTTCTGTTAGTCTCTGCAGTCTTGGATATATGCATAGCTGCAATGGACTTTTAAGTGTAAAATATTTGAGTTCTTAGCTATTGTTATCTAGTCTATGCATGATCTTATTTTATAATACATGTTATATCCATGTTACTTTCAGTATGGATCATTTAAACGAAAGCACTGATAGCATAGACTGGCAGAAAAGAAAACATACTCATAAAAATAAGACACAAAAGCCCAGCTGACTTAGCCATGCATTTCCACTTTTAGGCTTAGTCTGAGTTAACTTTCAGACCCAGAACTCTGCAGCTTTGAAAACAAAACTTTAGTATACATTCAGAAATAAGCTGTTTAAGTTTAGGCATCTAAATGTCAACTTCAGTATTTTTTTTCTGAGCGATATCTGATATGTTGGGTGAGTGGTGGGATGCAGTGGAGTCAATTTTTGTTTTTTCTAAAAAAAATGATTTTGAGTTCCAGATGCATTTTTTAGGAAGCAGATTTTGCTGAAAGCTTAAAGTATTTTTTTTAAATTGGGAACAAGGTATTTTTGTGATATCCTTTTTGGACCAACTGTATAGTTGGAAAAGTCTCTTACAAGTGTTACAAAGCACTTTTCTACAGATTTAGAAAGAAACAGACTAGGCTAAGTGGGGAGAAATGGTTTGTGTTTCACGTTAATAAGAGCAATTTTTTTAAACTGCCAAGTTTGGGGAACCATGCTTCATAGGATGAACAAGCAGATGAGTAAACTGAAGAGGATACCATACTTGGTAGAAAGTGTATAATTGTCTATCTAAACTTATTTTGAACATATTTGGTGATAATTTTTTTTGTTCTTCCTGTTATACAGACACTCTTAGAATATGCAGAAAAGTGGAAGACATCTGAAGATCCTCTGCCATTGTTGGAGGTATACAGAGTGGCTATCCAAAGTTATGTTAAAGCACGACCTTATCTTACCTCTGAGTGTGAAAAAGTAGCCTTTGTGCTTGAACGCTTATCACTGTGAGTATGTTTTTCAGTGAATTGCACGTTATATGTAGATAATATAAATTTTAAGCAATTTTCACTTGATACCTGTTAGTTTTTAGATTGAATTTAAGAGTTGATATTTATCCATAATGTTCTAAATCAGGGATGGGCAAACTATGGCTCATAGACAGAATCTGGCCCACCAGGCCATTTTATCCAGCCCATGGGGCCCCTTTAAAATTTAGAAAATTATTACCTGCGGGTGGTTGCCTGTCTAAAAGCTGATGAGGCACTGCCAGCAGTATTGGCAGCAGCAAGGACTGTCCAGCCCCACCCCACCCCACCCCACCCCCAGTCCCCAACCAGAAGCTTCTGCCTAGCAGAAACTTTTGGCCTGGTGACAGTGGGGTTGTTCCCCTGTCCTCCCTCTGTCTGAGAGTGGAAACTCAGGTGAGAATGAACGGTGCAGGGTGGAGAGGGGAACTGCTGGAGGAGCAGGAGCCAGCCCGGCCTGGCCAGCACCACTTGGTTCCTGGCTGGCTCCTGCTGTGCTGTGTAGTTCCAGCCACACAGCCAGGAACCGCATGGTGCTGACCGGGATGGGCTGGTTCCAGCACCATGCGGTTCCTGACTTCATGGCTGGGACAGCAGGAGCCAGCCCACCCCGGCTCCCACGGTTCCTGGCTGCATAGCCAAGACTGCACACAGGAACTGTGGGAGCCAGGCTGCACTGGCTCCTGTTGCGTTCTACGGTCCCAGCCATGCAGCTGGAAACCACGTGCCGTTGGAGTGCCGGGTGGAAGGGGCATCAAGCAGGTGGGCAGAAGAGCAGTGGTAGCTGGGCAGGAGCGTGGGGCCTGCATCAGTGCCCCGGTGCCAGGGCTGGCGAGGGTCCAGGGCGGAGCCCAGGCTGGCAGGGGGACTCTGTGGAACTGGTCCAGCTCCGCCCCTAACCCTGGGGATAGAATTTTCTCTATGAAGGTTATTTTGCTGTGGAACAAGCTACCATCCCTTTCCTGAGAGAGCCTGAGGCTGTGGATCTCCACATACTGCTGCAGGGTTGGACTCCTACAGAGGCGGGAAATCTGCTTTTTATGTATGTGGAGGTTAGAGGAGGTTAATGTTTGCAGGCAGTTTGTGATTTGTGGCAAGGAAACTCAGGCTTGGATAGCTTCCCCTTTTCATTTTTTGTATGCACTTAAAGGTACAGTTGAACTATGTATTTGCACATATCTCTTATTCCATTTAAAATCTAATGACTTATTTTTTAAAAAATATTATAATGACAAAGTTGGTTTGAGATTTTAAAGTTCATACTCATCAAAGTTATGTGAAGTAATATCCCCATTTACTTTCCAGAAGCTGTGTGGAACTTTTACTGTGTCTGCCTCTTGACTTACCAGAAAATAAATGGGAAAATTTTCAGGCATTTGTACGGGTGAGAATTTTTGGGTTTTTCTATATGAATAAGATGAATATGAAGGGAAATGTTGAATCAGCAGCCTTTAAGAGATGCTTTGGAAGCTTGGGGATGTTTAGTTGCAAGAGTTAGATTAAACTTTCTGCTTCCTTCAGTTAGAAGTCATGCATGCTGTTAGGTGAGTCAAATCATTATATATTAAACAATTCAGATACTAGCTTGGCTGAATAATATTTGACTAAGATGAAAACAAAACTAAAGTCTGATCCCAAGTATCTTGAAAGATGCTTTTAATGGATACTAAAGTTATAAAAAAAATAATTTATTTACCAATTATTTGTAACAAAATACTAAAAATGAAATTATGTAACATCGAATTCATATTTCACTATTTCTTTTGAGCCAAATTCTTTTCCACCTGTTATGAATCAAAGTACCTAAGTATGATCATTTTTCACTCTGTCATTGAGAACAGAATCAAGTCCTCACTGTCCTGTAAATACTGCTCTGTATTTAGCTAGGACAGTGAAAACACCAGTGAATGTTACAGGTTTGTTAGGCTTTATGAAAGACTTTAATAGGAAAGTATGAGCCATCTGCTCTGAAGAGAGGGGCTGAAATTAGCCCCAACCCAGACTTATTAGATATAATGGTTGTTTGGACTGAGAGAAATAGGGCCTTCAGCCTGAGAGAAAGAAGTAGTAGGAAAATTGACTTCACATTTAACATGCCCTGACATGAGTATCTTGAATCTGAGGGTCTTCATTGTATTCTCAAGTTCTGAAGCATAAACTAGTTAAGCTTGGGGAGAAAGATTGGAGTAGACTTTGTTACCAAAAGAAATGAGCAATAAAAACTAATAGTGAACCCCAGGAAAGTTTTGGGTCATGTAGGAAAGTCTTCTTGATAATACTTCCTCTTTTGCTTTCAGAGTTATATATGCACTGCCACATCATAAGCCAAAGCACACTTTGAGTATTAGTGAAACATTAGTTTGCCTACAAGCATTATGCAAGTCTACCACTCTAGAGAACTCAGAACATAAAAAAATATTAGTCATTGTCACACAAACCATCAGTTTTCTCACTGTTATTAATGTTAGGTTTTGGTCAAAATTTTCTTGAAAGTTATCTTATTACAGATTATTTTAGTATCCAAATACAGTTACTAACTTTTTTAATAGTCTGTGAGGGCAATGTGGTAAAATTAAAGGAAAAATTAAATTTATCTTTTTATCTAACTCAAAATTAATTTATCTCCACCATGTCCAGTGCTTCAAGATAGATCACAGAAGAGACTGAATAAATAAGATTTGGCGCCAAAGTCTTACCTGGACAACAGACTTTATTTCCATTTTTTCACTTGATTTTTAATGGACTTATTGCTTTTATACAATAAAAGTATTTTTAGTGCCACAATCCCAGTTTTTCTGGTATAAGACTGTATTTTTAGACGCCTACCTGATGTTATACTGGCATATAGCATGTACACTACAACATTTAAATTTCCATATTAAAAAGTCTACTCATAGGGCTTAAGATTAATTGCTTTTATTTTTGGTCTTTTAGAGCAAAGGTTTATAAGAAAGGACAAGTTCTACTTTTGAGGTTTTCCTTTTATATTAAAACCATATGTCCTTAAGGGGTTTTATGTTTGCCCTTGCCATACTTGTGACTCATTTAATATTTTTCTTCAGGTGTCCCATGAAAAGTTGATGGAGAATGGCAGCTGTGAACTGCATTTTTTAGCTACTCTTACTCAAGAGAAGGGAGCATGGAAGAACCCAGTGCTCTGTGATATTCTTTCCCAGGAACCACTGAATCAGGATAAAGGTAAATTTGTAATACCATACGTGGTCACAACACATACCCATTCTACAACTATTTTAATAAATTAGCATTTTGGTGTGACTAATTTTATGTCATTAGTGATATATGTATAGTGCAGCTGTAGTTCAACATCTCTTTGGCCATTTCCTTTATAAACTCAGAAGGGATTTATAAACAGGCTGTTCTGTGTTGAGATGAATGTCAACGCAGAGGTAGCCAACAAAGATGTATTTATGTAAACTGCTCTTTATAAGTAAAATAAAAATACAGCTATCCCATTTTTACTGCTATGTATTTAATAGAAAACTGAAACCATTACCAACATCTGTATTTAAGAAACCACATTTAAAAAACCACTACTGACGTGTTTCAGATTTAAGAGATTGCAGTGATTTTGGTCTTTCCTGTGCTCTTACAATATTTGAAATGCCAATATATATATATATTTTTAAAAGCATTAGTGTATGTTATACTTGAGAGGCCTGAAGATAAAAAGAAATATTATGGCAACTCCTTTTCATACTGATTTTGGGAATGGAGTAAAAGTTAGTGCAGTATTGTATATTCACTACTGATTCCTTCAGCACTGTTACATGTGGAGTCCATTTATGTCACAGTGACTAGGTTATCTGCTCTGATACAGAAACCATCTTTGGCACCAGGGTCTTTTGCATCCCAATCGGAGTCAATAGCTTCCAGGTTGCCAACCTTGGTGTCAGGGGGCCTGGATTCTACTTCTTTCCTGGTGACGAGATGCACGTTACTAAAGGAGTTAACTGTTTTGATGTTCCTAAAATTTCCCTTGTTAACCTAACTGAGGTTTTAACTAGAGATTGCCTCACTGGTCCCCAAGGCTGTTTTAACAGAGGAAACTTTAAGACACCAGTGAGATTTGCTCCTCTTCTAGAAGAGGATCTCTCATTTTTCTAGTTTCTGGTGAAAGTAATCAAAGGTCTTCCTCTTAGTTGCCTATCGTTCCTTCCTATGACCCTTCTGTTTTATAGAGGGAAGATAAGTACTCTCCTTCACAAAAGAGGGATAGGCCAGGACATCCTGGGTGATATCTCCCAGTGCTTCGTTTTGTGTAACTGTATGATCAATATTGGTTGTTTAAATGACATCTCCAACTCAAAGATGGTCAGTGATCACCTTCCACAGCTCAGATTCATGCTATGGTCACTTAATTTATTTCTCATTGCATTCCGGGCCACTCCACTCCACTGTGTATTCATATACTTCAGAAAGCTCAGGATGATTTCAGTCCATTTACCTTGTAGTTTCAGTGGCAGCAGGGAGTCGGTTCAAGATTATTGTATGAACTAAGCACAAAACCCATTTTTCACTCATTACCATATTATCAAACTGTTCCTAGTTCCTAAACTAGCACCATCCTCTCTCTCTCTCTCTTTAAAGCTCCATCCAGCTAATCTTCAGTATGGTCATGTAACTCTAGAATTCGTTTCACTATCCTTTGAAAATCCAGCAGTTTCTCCCATAAAAGCCTGCTGATTTGGGAGAATTCTCCTGGGTTTTTTTCTTGGTAGAAAAACTTACCCAGAGATCCCAGAACAGATAGATGTTCAAATGCTGAGCCTCTGTGCAGCCAGGGGGTCCATATGCACACATATCTGTGTGCACTGCAAGCTCCCCAGCAGATGACAGCAGTGCACAGGGCAGCCCTGAGAGGCTGACTCAGACTGCCTTACAGGCTGTCTCCCTGCAGCATAATGTGGGGATTGTAAATGGCCAGCCTGCTTGGCTGGGGCAATAGAAACCAGCCCAAGTGACACAGTCTCCCTGAATCTGTGGGGGGCTGGAAGCAAAGCCTACTGGAGGACTGTGCTGAGGCTTCTCTCAAAAGGTATGTGTACAGGTGTTCAGTCTTGCAAAAGAAACTTTCCCAGGAGCCATTTAACTCTTCCTGGGATATTTTTCTCCTGAAGCAGCCACTTCTGCTGTAGGAGAAAAATCCTGTACACTTGTGGTTTCTACTGGGAAAGCAGCAAGTCTTACAGTAGAAACTGAATGTTTATATGTGATCTTATTCTTCTAGTTCCATCTTGCAGCAGCTTAGCACTCTCTTAAGATTATCAAATACAGACTTTGGTGCAGTATGCGGAACCACCTGGCATACCCTACATGCCCTGTGGGTCAACTCCAAGACCCCCCAGCAACACTGGGATCCAAATATTAGGGCTCTGTAAGCTGGGTCCAGCCCCTGGACTTTATTTTTGACACTGTGGACCTACAGCAGGGGGGACTGCCACAGCTGGACCCGCATCCTGGCGAGCAAAGGGGGCAGAGGGAGCTCTCATTTTCTATGACAAAAAAACAAAATCAAACACCAAAATATATAGATATTTTGAATTTATTTATTATAATGATTCAAATACTGGCAGGATTCCAAATTGCTTTAAAATTGTAAATATATCAACAAAACATTGTGTGCAATTGATACTTATATCTAGATTCATAGATTGTAAAGCCAGAAGGGACCTCTGAAGATCATCGGGTCCAGCCCCCTGCACCAAGCAGGAAACATAATTGGGGTCAGGTGACCCCAGCAAGGTGACTGTCTAGTCTCCTCTTGAAGATTTCCAGGGTAGGTGATTGCACCACCTCTGGAGGGCTCTTATTCCACAGTCTGGACACCATGACTGTGGAGAAGTTTTTCCTAATGTTGAGCCTGAATCAATCTTCCAGGAGTTTGTGGCCATTACTCCTGGTTTTCCCCTTGGGTGCCCTGGTGAACAGTTGCTCACCAAGCCCTTGATGTATTCCCCTAGTGTAGCAGTAAGCTGCTACCAGGTCCCCTCTCAGCCTTCTTTTCTTCAGGCTGAAGAGTCCCAGATCCCTCAGCCTTTCCTCCTATGGCTTGCCTTTTAAGACTCTGATCATATGGGTCGCTTTTCTTTGGACTCTCTCAAGCTTGTTGACGTCTTTGTTAAAGTGTGGTGCCCAGAACTGGACGCAGTTCTCCAGCTGCGGTCTCACCAGTGCTGAGTAGAGTGAAAGAATCACTTTCTTGGCTTTGCTGGAGATGCATCGATTGATGCATGCCAGAATATTATTTGCCCTACTGGCTACAGCATCGCACTGCTGGCTTATATTCATACTATGGTCTATTACTACCCCCAGGTCCCTTTCATTTGTGGTGCTAGTCAGTTTGGTGCCGCCAAGCCTGTAGTGTGTTGGGGGTTGCTCATCCCGAGGTGGAGCACTTTACATTTCTCAACGTTGAACTTCATCAGGTCCGATCCGCCCAGCTTGCTATTCTGTCTAGGTCTGCCTGTATCTGTAGCCTATCTTCAAACATGACCATGCGTCCCCATAATTTGATGTCATCCGCGAACTTAGCCAGCGAGCTCTTTACCCCCACATCCAAATCATGATTAAAGATGTTGAAAAGTACTGGACTGAGTACTGACCCCTGCAGGACACCACTGCCCACTTGTCGCCAGGATGACACAGATCCGTTCACTATGACTCCCTGGGTTCTATCCTGCAGCCAGTTTCTCACCCACCTGACTGTCTCGGAGTTAAGCCCCAAATCCTCCAATTTTCTCGCGAGGGCATCGTGGGATACTAGATCAAAGGCCTTTTGGAAGGCTAGGTATACAGTGTCAGCCTGCTCTCTCATGTCCTGGTGGTGCATTACCTGGTCATAGAAGGAGATGAGGTTGGCAAGGCAAAACCTGCCTGCAACAAAGCCATGCTGGCTGTCATTCAGAATCTTACCTTCTGCAAGCTTATCGCAGATAGACTCCTTGAACTTTTCTAATATTTTCCCCAGGATGGAAGTTAGGCTGATTGGGCTATAATTACCTGGGTCCTCCCTCCTCCCCTTCTTGTGGATGGGCACAACATTGGCCCTCTTCCAGTCCTCAGGGTCTTCTCCAGAGCTCCAGTAGTTGTGGAAGAGTTTTGCTAGGGGTTCCTCAGTGACTTTGGCCAGTTCCTTCAGCACTCCCAGATGAAGATCATCTGGTTCTGCTCACATGTACATGTCTAATTTTATTAATTGGTCATACATCCGTTCTACGGCAATAATAGGAAGGTGATTATTCCTACCGTGCTCATCCTCTACTCTACCTGGCGTGGTTTTCCCCTTTGTCCGGTGAAAGACCGAGGCAAAGTAGTCATTCAGGAGTTCAGCTTTCTCCTGGGTGCTGGTAACCAGCTCTCCTGAGTTGTTGAGCAATGGCCCCACACTCCCATTAGTTTTCCTCCTGTTCCCTATGTACCTAAAGAGGACTTCTTGTTGTCCTTGATTCCCATTGCTATTCTAAGTTCAGTTGCCACTTTAGCCTGTCTCATCTGTTCCATGCAAATACAGGCCATTGTGGAATAGTCCTCCTTGGGGCCCACCCCAAACTTCCATTGTTTATCAGTTTCTTTCTTCTTTCTTAAGAGGACAGTGATTTCCCTGTTTAGCTAAGGGGGCTTCCCAGCCCTTCTGTTACCTTTTCTCTGCATGGGAATGGACTTCCTTTGTGCTTCAAGGATCATGTCTTTAAGGAACAACCACTCTTCATGCACACCTTTCGCTTTTGGTCCCTGGTCCCGCAGAACTTGCCCTACTAGTGACCTAAGCTTGTTGATATTTACATTTTTTAAGACATCAGTCCTGCTATCCAACTTACCTGCCTTGCATTGGACAGTGAACATGATGGTTTCATGGTTGCTATAGCCCAGAATTCTCTCTATATTTAAGTCGGTCACCAAGTCATTTCCTTTGGCCAGGACCAAGTCTAGCAGAGCATTACATCTGGTTGGCCCACACACCTCCTAAGTCAGGAAGAGCTCCTCGACACAGGTCATGACGGATCACAACCAATCCAAAGTGGCCAGGTGTTCCTCCCAGGAGATGTCTGGATAATTAAAATCACCCATGACGACCATGTCACGTGCATGTGCAGCCTCGGGCAGTTCTCAGGTGAACTCCAAATCAAGTTCCTCCACCTGGTTTGGTGGCCTGTAGTATACATCTACAGTTGGGTATC